GGTGTGTGCTGGTAACATGGTTTCCATTCATAACGCCTTTTGGGTTCTTTTTACCAATCTTCCCAGGGCCATAATTTTCAATTTAATTTATCACTCCCAATGGGAGTGGTGGCATAGTGCATACAGCACTCGTCTCTTATTTCAGTGGTAGCTGTTTTGATTCTTAAGGCATTCTCAGTCTATCTGGCTGTAAATGGGAATCTAACTTTACAAGTTGGGTAAATTTAGGCATTCGAGTGTAGTGTACAGTAATGTGTATATGGTAATTAAATACAAAGTTGCGTAGCATTTAGTAACTAAATATATTTTAAAATATTTATGCCTATCTCTAATGGGTCATAATGAAATTGAGAATGGAGTTGCATAGGCAACCTAGAGAGAGTGGGCTGGGAGGAGACAGAGGAGAAGTGTGGATAAAGCGGTGAGGGGCTTTTCCCCCCCCCGGGCAACACCCATCTCTAAATATATCGCTTTAGAGTAAGGCCCTCTCTAGTGTAGACGGAGGGAGGGAAGGACGCTTTTTAATCATATATCTGAGATTTCACTAAAAGCTTAAATTAAAAAACTGAATATAAAGACATTTGAAAACACTACCTGTATGTACAATGCATTTCCCGTTGTATACCCACAGGACCAACTCGACCCATCCCCAGGACCCATCAATCCTATCTGCAGGACCCATCCGACTCAACAACAGAACCCACCTAACCTGCCGGGAAGATCAATCTAACCCACCCGCAGGTTAAGCCAACAAACCAGCATGATCTACTCGACCCAGCCAAAGGACCCATTCCATCCACTCACAGGACTCACCTAGCCCATCCCCATGACGTAGTCTACTTAACCCACCCGCAGGACCCACCAGCACAACAAACAACCGGTTGTACTGGTGTCCCCTATTGATTACATGTCAGTGTTGGCTGGTGGGATCCCCTCATTACCTCGGTCGCTGGGGGCTCACCTTTTTCTTGGCGCCTATTTCCGTGGCTCTCGCTCAACCTTTCTCTCCAATAGACACTACTGCCATTATGACTGTCTCAGTACAGTAAAAAATTATAACAATGTATAATCGGACATTAAACACCCTGACGTTACCTGAGGAGATTTGGTTAGGTTAGGTTAGATTGGTTAGGTTAGGTTAGGTTGGTTAGGTTAGGTAAAGGTGTTTATTTATCAAGTGAAATAAGCTGGAACGCCTAATTTTCAAGTGATTCGTATAATCTCTTATTCACTGAATTAAACGCGAATGTTAACTGAAATGTGTACACTGTAGTCAGATATATATTATTGTATGTATGTATGAATCGGTGACGAGTACTGTATCGTTTTTCTGTTGCCTCTCTCCCCCTTTCTTCCTCATTTGTTCATTCATTCCTTCTCACCCTCTTCTTCCCTTTATCCACCCTTCCCACCCACTCCTTCTCCCCCTTCCACCCCTCTCCCTCTTTTTCTCCCTCCCTCCGTTCCTCTCAGATCACAACTTACTAAATTCTATTTTCACCAGGACTTTACAGTGGCACGCGGAAGCATGACTCTGCTGGCACCTTCTTCCCTAGCTATCACACCACCTCACGTAAATGGCATTGTTGTCGCTGAAAATTAAGGTGCCCACATACTCACACACACACACACACACACACACACACACACACACACACACACATATATATATATATATATATATATATATATATATATATATATATATATATATATATATATATATATATATATATATATATATATATATATATATATATATATATATATATATATATATACAGGTGTCAGAAGAAGAAAAAAATAAGCCAATAGATGTGAAGTTTGAAGGTTGTACTGTGGCTGTGAGGAGTGTCAGGTCTTGTACGGCAGCAGCTTATATTTACTTTGGCTCAGACCTTCCCAGAACCTGGCATGTTTTTTACCCTTCTCTCCTCCTCGTCTATAGTCGAATGTTTGAACAGTGTCCTCATGTGATTTTTAGATCGCTTGAATATTTCGTTAGTCTGAAGACCAGTTGAAAAGAGAGCGAATTGATGGCAGATAATGATTAGGTTAGGTTTAGCTATACGTTACGGCAATTTTTACTGTAGTTGTAAAAACGTGTATTTTCTAGTTTGCTTAAGCTCGTACTTTAATTATATCTATACAATAAACAACAAAATAATGCAAGATATTTCTCCTGGTTTTAGTAAATAACAGGTACATTTTATCCTGTGTAATCCTCGGACAACAATCACTGCTAAATAATTGCAACATCAAACTCGGTGGACTTACTGTATTTTCATAGTTATTTTTCCTGGTATTGAGTTTTTAGGATAAAGCTCCCTGTGCAATAAAAAAACCATTCTTGCAGAGACAGCAGAAACTCTACGGCGTTGTGTATTATAAATTACATCATTTACAAGTGTTGCCGAAGCTTTGAAAATAATTTTTGGGGGAACATTACGAAATCTCCTAATCATTGGTTATATTACTTGAAGAGTTAGGAAGGTTAACCCACTCGATAGTAACAACGATGACAAACTAATCAGAAAAAAAGAATGCTAATTAGATTTACATAATAGACAGAGATAAAAAAATCATCATGTAGTGTATGGTATGTGCCCTACAAGATAAAGAAGGCTGTTCTTGGTGCCCATCTCCTTTGTTATTGTATAAGCAGTCGGCAAGTATCAGCACTCAGGCGCCTGGAGTTGTTGATTAACCCTCACGTAGAAGAATGGAGAAAGTTGTACATAAACTAGGTGATTGTACAGATAACTCATAAGATTCGAAAAAAAAGCCAATTGGCGGATCGTCCTTTCTAGTAATTTCGAGGAGATAAATTGCTTTTCCATTCCACAAGAGGCTGTCTCTGTAAGTACTGTACACGTGTGGAAGTAATCAGAATGTCCCTCTTCAAGTAGCTTTAATTTACGCGATAGGTTTTGGTATACTAATGATCTGTAGGAATTCTTAGGTTTAATATTACAATAAAAAAAAGGATTTTGTAATATGGTATAAAATCTGTCTAGGGAGTGATTATAACTTATTAGCTAAAAGAGTGTTCGGGTTTCAAGTCTCCAGAATAATTCTTCTTAGCGTAACTATATTACTTGCATATAGAAATATTTGCATGTTTACCGATATGGGTGGTTGTAAACCATTTTAATTCACAGTGGCGCCGATTGAATCATTCCGTTGAATGTCTCTTAACCCACACTTATATAGAATGGTGGGTCTTGTTGTCATTCATACTGTAGCTACATGGGGACACGACAGGCAATATCACACCACATTCTTGTGTCTACAAACACACACAGCCTCGCGGCTATTCATATTGTAGAAAGCCCACTCTGTCACGACCAACCAACTCTGTAACACGTCTCTCCTAGCCCTCTTATTCAAGTTAACGAATATAACTATATTTGTACCAGCGAGTTTATCTTCCTCTCAAACTTACATGAAGGAAACAGACAACAGCGCAAAGGGAAAGCTCACTTTGAGCTACTACAATAGATCGCTGTTGGGTCATCGAGTTAACTACTCACTATATACTTCTACCAGAGCGCCTTTGGACTACTAGACACTATTGCAAACACTAAAGTTACACAAAAACAACACCCAACACCAGCATAATGTTAGACGCTGTGGTGCCAGGTCCAAAGTCATTCGGCAAGATTCTAGTGATCCCTGACATACACACTACACTCACATTCCCCAATCAATGTTCGTTTATTTCAGCAGAGTGTGTAAGGCGCGAGTACGAAAAGGCCTCTGTGTGTGTGTGTGGGGTCATTAGCGGGATTTTCTAGATGTTACTGGTCTCTGTCCCAGTGTTGCCTAAGTATAAGGTACTAGGTGGTTGTAGCCTCTATCCCAGTGTTGCCAAAGTATAAGGTAATAGAGGAATGAGGTCTCTGTCCCAGTGTTGCCAAAGTATAAGGTATTAGGTGTTGGTGGTCTCTATCCCAGTGTTGCCAATGTTTGAGATTCCAAGTGATGTTGGTGGTGATCCCTCAACACAGGTCCCCTTAGTATGCATGCAGTTTCAGGTTTCTAGGTTTCATGGTCTTGGTGCTATGGTGTGACCACACACACACTCAAGCTTCATTATCATTATTGTTATTATTATTTATTATATAATCTCCTTTTTGGATATGTTTTTTCTAAGGATATTGATGGTGTGATTCAAGACAATCTTGATTTTATTAGCAATTGGTATAAATCGGCATTTCCTGCATGACTTACAGAAAAAATATATAAGTATAAATCTATATGATAATTATAATCATTATATCAATAATTATAATGATGAGACCATATGTGGCCCCACAATACATGGTCAATAACTGCTGTTTTGTCTTAATAAATATGTACCTACTTCGATACAGTCATGGGCAGCAACAAGTTTTCGGATATGACTTCATATAATAATATACTTAATGTTTGTACTCACTGAAAATTCCAGTTTATTTGAATTAATCAAAATATTTTTCTTCTTGGTTACATCTATTTGTTCATTAATACAAAACAGCAATCCGTTACCTAATTCCGAATGAGGAGTACATGAAAGATGACGCAACTGTAACGTAGTCTTTATAGCCCTAGAGTACTAGTTTTCTGGAGAGGACCTGCAGCACCCTGTTCTTCAACCTCCTCCAACTCCTGATGGGCTTTGCGGTACTTAGCCAAGTTCAGGGCAGCGATCTCTTCGGCTTCTTCTATCTGGCGCTTATAGGTCTTGATCTTCTGCTGCAGCTTATCGATAAGGTCCTGCATTTTCTCGTGGTTCTTTTTGTATTCATCAGACTGGAAGGTGAGCTCCTTGATGCGCCTCTCACACTTCCTCAGGTTCTTCTGGGCGTCAGAATGGCGACGAGATTCATCGTCCAACTGGCCTTCCAGCTCACGAACTCGTCCCTCTAACTTACCCACAACCTTCTTGCCGGTCTTCAGAGCATTGCTTTCGCTCTCTTCAAGGCGATATTGAAGTTCTTTCACTGTAACTTCCAGACCTTTACGCATCTTCTCCTGGGTCTGGGCGTGTTCCTGCTCAGCGCGGAGTTCATCGGCCAGGCGGGCGGCATCGATCATGGCCTTCTTCGCTCTTTCCTCTGAGTTTTTGGCCTCGCTCAGCATCTCGTCCAGGTCAGCCTTTGGAATGATATTCATATATAAAATTATTAGAGATGAAACATGAGCTAGTTATCAAATTGGTGCTAAAGAGACGTTAATACCTATCACCAGATTTTACACAAGATCTATATTCTGAGAACAAAAGCATTTTCATCACCAAGAAAGCTAAATAAAACTTACATGGAGAGTCTGCATCTCGCTCTCGAGCTTCCTTTTGACCACAGTTAGGGAATTATTCTGAGCAGTGATCATATTCAGCTGTTCTTGACAATCACTCAACTCAGACTCGGCGTAACGTCGACCACGATCGGACTGTTCAAGAAGCGTGCGCGACTCTTCTAGGTCTCCCTGTAATGTATTGGCACGGCGCTCAGAAATAGCACATTGCTCGCGGTATTCAGAAGAAAGGCGTTGTTCATCTTCAAGAATGGCTTGTTGATCTTTCATCTCTATTTGTATTTTCTTAATGTGCTTCTGCAATTCATAATTTGCTTTGTTGGAGTGGTCAAGTGCAATCTCGAGCTCATCAATGTCAGATTCTAGTTTCTTCCTTATACGAAGGGCATCGGCCTTACCCTTAGCTTCAGTCTCAAGGGTAGCCTGCATGGAGTCAATGGCTCGTTGGTGGCACTTGCTAGAAACAGGAAAAGGCTAAAATTACTGAGTAAATATTACCAACTACCCAAAGTATTCAGCTTTTCAATGGTTGCAGCAATCAATGTTTACAGTAATATATTGTTATTCCATCTTATACGTAATTCCATTTACTAATAAACTGTATGAATGCGTTTTATCTTGTTTACCACATTTTACTAGTGTGATGGAACCTGAAATTCTGATCTTTTCACTATGCCAAAAACTTAAACAATTATAAAATCTAAGCATATAAAAAAATATTATTAATCTGCTTAGGGCTCTATCAAAACTAAATTACCATGCTATAATTTATCCTGCCATACCTTAACCTAACCCTACGTGATCTCATTCAACCTAAGCCAACTTAAACTAACCCAACCCAACCCAACCCACTTGACTTAACCCATCCTAAAGTAACCTAACCTAACCATACTTAAAATAACTCAATCCAACCCAATTTCAATTAACCCAACCCAACCCATACCAATCCAACCTACCATAACGCAACACAACCTAAACTGTCCCCAACTCAGCCTCAAATTTGTCAAATTGTTATTAAACATATTAGTGATAAAAGGACTTCTACTAAATCTTAAACAAAAATACTCCTTACCGAATGTTCTCAGATTCTTCTTCCTTTTCATTGATTCGTCTGTCGATCTCTTGCCTAACCTGACTTAGTTCAAGTTGACCTCGAAGCACTTTGTTTTCCTCCTGTTCAAGAGCCGCTTCAGCTTCGTCCAGGGCAGCCTGGAGCTCCTCCTTCTCAATTTCGAGACGTTTTATGGTTTTTTGAACTTCGTGCATAGATCGGCCACCCTCGCCAATCTGGTCCATCAGGTCATTGACCTCATCAGAAAGTTTTTTGTTTTCACGGCGGACTGAGTCAAGATGCTCAAGGTTCTCCTCGTAGGCGGTCTTCATACGGAAGTGCTCAGTAGAGTAGTTGCGGCATTCCTTCTGGGAAGTATCAAGTTCAGCAGAAAGATCATCAACTTTCAATTTCCATTCACTAATGATCTTATTAAAGTTCTTCTGTTTCTTTTCAGCAGCGTTTGCCAAAGTCTGGGCGCGATCAGTTGCGATTTGCATTTCTTCAAGCTCTGTGCAAGAGCGTTGTTTAGTTTTTTCCAAGTGCAAATTCTTGATATTAAGTTGCTCAATTTGAGATTCAGCTTCTTCAAGGCGAGCAGAAAGTTTTGAACGAGCTGCTTCAAGTTCCTCTGTACGAGCAACACCTTCAGATTCGTATTTTGAACGCCACATCAAAGCTTCCGCATTAGCCTTGGACAACTGCCGCTGTACGTTAGCCTTGGCTTCGCCTTCATCATCAAGTTGCTCACGGAGACCGCCAATATCGTGTTCTAAGTTGCGGAACTTACCGAGAATTGTTCCTCGTTCCTGGAAAGATAAAGAGCTAAAATTTATATTGATCTAAAGTCAGCATAATAGATACAATATATATATATATATATATATATATATATATATATATATATATATATATATATATATATATATATATATATATATATATATATATATATATATATATATAATTTTATATCAGATACTGATGTTGTGCAAATTAAAGCTTCACTTGCCCTGCTTTCTTCATCAACAACCTTCTTCGTATCCTCGAGTTGGTTGGTCAAGGAGAGCTTCAATTTAGAGAGTTGACCAACTAGACTTTCCGCCTCTTCTAGCTGGTGCAGAAGGTCAGAGTTCTCAACAGCAAGCTTTTTCTTGGCAACATCGTAGTCATTAAGGTTGCGGTTGGTTTCGTCTAACTTGGATTGAACTTCGGTCACCTCATGTTGGAGCTGCTTACACATCTTCTCGGAGGCAACCTATACCAAAATAAATTTAGTGGTCTTCAGATAGAGGCACAATCAATGTCAATTTAGTTTTATTCCAATATCCTATTATTGCAAGCCTTAACTTTGCCAGTAAAGTATATTAGTTTCACAATAAGAGGGCGCAGCAGGATGTAGGAATTTGAGTAACGATTACCATTTTTTTTAAATAAAGTTCTGATCACCATCTATATGGGTGTGGACGTGTGCGGAAAAAGAGTCTAGACTTACTTTATATTTTAAAGGGGAAATTTACAATGACATAAGGCCAGAAATTTTATTTTCAAGATTGAAAATATGACTTGGAGAATACCAGCGCATTAAATATAAAGGCATCGGTCATGTTATGGATGATATATGATGATTATATATTGTACATTCACTGTATGCTAACGCGTTCAAAAATCGATTTTATTATTAATATCATGAAATATGAACTGAAAACTGCATAGTAATTTTATGAACTGTGGAATGTGATTACAAAATGTGAAAATCTGTAGTTTTGTGATATAATAAATAATATATATATAATCGATTAATGACAACATTTGCTTAATCACACAACTGAAGTATATAAACATTGTATAAAATGTAAATTACGTTTTTTCATCCGATTTTATCATCAGGTAAATACTGTTAGTAGTAGTTTAATTAGTCCTTCCTCGGACCTTTTATTTACTGATATCGGATTTTTTTCTGATCCTACAGTTTCATTAATTTAATTTAACTGTGGACGTCACTGTATACTACTAGCAGCCAGACAGGCCTAAGAGAAAAACAACCAAATGGACAAAACCAACCAGGAGAGTTATCGACACACACACACACCAAAAAAATCCATATTTTTCAAGCAAGAGGAGTTCCTCATCACTCCCTTACGACACACGACTGTACTGGTGTGTGTAAAATATACTTCAACCAAATACACTACACATCCTGCTTTTGTACTGAGTTCACTTAACTGAACAACCTTCACCTGAATAAAAATGAATGAGTCAAGTAGGAGGGAGCGGTGCGGATGTGGTACACTAAACTCTACAATATGTCTTCAGTCACCAGACACCATGGCCAGCACTGCACTCTACCGTCTTCATCTTCCCCTACTAGAAAAAATAGCGAAAATATATTAATTTGCGTAGTTTACCTTGTGGCGAGTCAGACCGTCCATTATGGCCTTAGCATCATCAGCCTCCCGTTTTAGAGTCACCTTCTCCCTTTCATTCCTGTGGATAATAAAACAGCGAAATGAAATTAGAAACATGCAGACAGCAGGAACAGTGAAATGAATGAAATGAAATGACATTTAGAAGTGCAATAAAAAGTCACCGTTAGCCAACTGTCTGGCATGATTACTCCAGCACAAGAATTTTTATATCCTCTCCATGTTAATTCAGTTTCAATATAATTTCAAACCTTTCACCGTGAGAAAAAAATATCTGAATGGTATGCACTGAACCACTGAAATACAAACTGTACAAAATTTGTCTCTCATCATCTGGTAATTTGCCATTATTAACTTTTGAGCTAGACTATCAAGTCCGTCGCTCTCCCTGATCAAGAGGTCATGAGGAAGTTACCCGAGTAAGAGATGTCTTATACTGTACGCGATCAGATACTGAAGCATAACGTGAAGATCTCTAACAAAACATTTAAATTAGGAGGAGTGAGCCAGGTGGTTGACTGGATAGTGGCGGGAAGGAATCTATGAAAACTCGGAAAATATAAATTGATTTGACCAAAAATATGATTAAAAGTTCTTCATGTTGATGAATAATAATTGTGTGTAAAAGTGAAATATCAAGTGGACACTTTAATCTAAAGGCGAAGCTCATTGTGCAAAGAGACAAATATTGATAATTCATGTAGGAAAGACAACTTGACTCACTCTGCTGTAGTTAGCATAACTTGATGATGAACATGACATTATCTTTGCTACAGCTTTGTTTTATTTATGTGTATCACTCTTCCCAATATCTATACGGTAATTAAATATAATGCTACGAGCATGAGTCATGTTTTTACTCACCATACTTTGGTCTTGTTGAGATTGTCGATTTGTTCCGACATTTCAGCGACAATATTATGGTGTTTATTGCAAAGAAGTGCCAAAGAGGACTCATGCTGGATATTGGATTCCTCGAGATCTTTACGAAGCTTCGTTATCTCTGCCTCTCGTTTTTTGTTCAACTCAATTTGAGCAGCGGTGGCTCCGCCTGCCTCGTCCAAGCGATCGCCCAGATCGTCCAGTTCGCGGGCCAAGAGAGACTTCGCCTTCTCAGTCTTAGCACGGGTTTGGCGTTCATGTTCAATATCTTCTTCAAGTTCCTCAATACGGGACTCCGATTCCTTGACCTGCCTTTGAACCTTGGAAAGAAGGCCTTGCTCATCTTCAAGTTTGCTGTAAAGCGAAGAAAATTCCTTATCTTTACGCTCAATAGTCTGCTCCAGCTCCTTCTTGTTTCGTTCTAAGTCAGCAACGGCCTCCAGGGTTAACTTCTGATCACCCTCAACCTTTCTCTTGGCCTTTTCAAGATCAATACGTTGTTTCTTTTCGCGTTCTAATGCGTCTTCAAGTTCATCAAGAGTTTGTTCAAGTTTAGCCTTCACTTTATTGAGATGGTTACATTTGTCTTCAACACACTGAGCGTCTTCGGCAGTCTTCTGGTTGCACTCCTGTAAATGTTTCTTTTCTTTGTTGAGCTTATTGATAAGTTCCTCTTGTTGTCTAATCTCTCCATTAAGATTGTTAACTTGGTGATCTTTGCTGACCTTGTCTTGCTCCAACTTTTGAATGCTCAGCTCCAAATCCTCAATGTTCTTCTTCAGGTTGTTAAATTCCTGTTCGGTCTTCTTCTTATCCTGGGAAAATCGAGTACAGGCTTCTTCTCCCTTCTGCAAGCGCTCGGCCGTTTCCTGAAACGCTTATCATCATCAGTAACTTATATGAGATACTATATAGACACTTTCCTCAAATATATTTAAACTTAAACATAAATGGAAACTCAGGCCGGGCACATTAATACACTAACTACATCAGTTCAATGACTAGGATTAACTACATTTCCAAGAATCTTGGCAAAAATCCTTTATATATACTGCAGCTTTGAATTACTTCACATTATATATTCATATTATACTACAAATACATTTGATCTACCCAAAACTGTCCAGTGTATTTAGGAATATAGTTAGTTTTCTGAGATTCTATATATGTAACTGAACGTGAAGAAATTCAACTACTGTATTATGAAAATTAAAAATGTACCTCAAAACAGACATGAAAACTCAGTATGAATGTGCAGGACTACATAATTCATTAGTCGTCATTTTTTAAGCTGATTTATATGTAACAATGATAATTTGTCTCCTTCACTACTTACAGTGAGGACAGCCTCCAGATCAGCCTTCTGTCTCTGCAGCTTAGCTTGTTTGTCAAGAAACTCGGACAAGCTGCCCTTGGTCGTTTCATGAGAAAGTAGAAGGCTGTTCCTTTCTTCAAGAAGCTTAACGTTAGCAGCCTCAAGTTCCTGGCGAAGTTTTACCTCTTTCTCGTAGTCCTCCAAAGCCTTGGCAGCCTTCTCCTTGAGGGCCCGCATCTCATCCTCAATGCGGGTAACGTTGAGTAGAGGCTTTACTTTCTGCCAGAAGCTGTACCACGCCCATGTTCGCATCTGCAAGAAATGCCTTAAGCTGCGCTGCACAATGTTGAGTGAAATGCGCTGTTCCTGAAGTCTCTTGTAACCGCTGCGGCTGATGTATCCACGGACCCACGACTGCATCCAAGTGATAATCATACCCAGGCGATCATCACGAATCTCCTCCAGGGTACCCAGAACACCAGCACGGAAGAACACCTTTGAATGGCAGGAAATTATAGTATGAAAGGACACAATATTCATAGAGTAGCATCGATATGATCTTACTTTACTGCAATAGAATAATTCATATACTAATATCAGCTGTAGAATAAATGTAAACAAAAATAAATTGATGCAATGGGAACTACAAGAGAAACAACCTGGATTAAACTGAATAAAAGTAAATATCTTTTCTGAGAAGAATCTGCCAAGGAAACAAAGACTTATGTATATTGAAAGTTATAATGAGGATACAATACAGTCATGTGGTAAACCTAAAAGTCCTTTTACTAAACGTCTAATACACATTTTACTTTTAACAGTCTTGGGATTAAATATAACAGTTGGACTATGCAATACCACAAACCTCATGCAAATTGTCATATATCTGGAAATATATGGAGTGGTCTTCATCATGCGGAGGAAACTGTAAGAACAGGTGCAAAATGGTACAGGGGACACCGCTTAAAAATATTACGAAACATACAGTGGAAGGTTTGACAGTCGGCCAGACTAGCATCAATATGCAGGGTGTACACCGGAGAGTGAAGAAGGGAGTTCGGAATATTTAGGTAGGGAGAATCTAAACATGTCCACCAAGACCTTGGTGTTGCCGAGGCGGTAGTGTTCCTGTTCCAGACCCGCCTTGTCAAAGCAAGCCTTGGCAGCCTTCTTGTCGTCGGAGATCTCAGACATTTCCTTGGAGGCCAGGATCTTGTAGCTATGGAAGGACGTGCGTCAGTGATATACTCGGAATGAGAAAATATATTGTTGGGTATTTACTTAAAATTAAATAGCAGACAATTTGGAAAAAAGTTGTTAACATCCAGTTTCCTTCAAAATGTTTCGCCGCAAAGTAAAAAAATTCTTCGTCAGTGACAATATTTCTTCATTCGTGTAGGAGTAAATCAGTCAGTCAGAGATAATGTCAGGTACTGAGCTGTTGACGCAGCAAAATGTGCAGACGGTAAATTTGAAGCTGGACCTTGATTTCTGTAAATTTATGAGTGACTGATATATTCTTTTCATAAGAATTTGCCAGCAATGTGATCTATAGCATCAAGGTAGCAAAGAACCTACTTCTGTGTTTCGTATAGACTGTACAGTATATCTGAAGTGATGGATGTCATCTTTGATATTCATCTTTCTCTTAGTAACACAAGAATTATACTTTCATTTTACTTTTATGTTTGGCAGCTGTTTACGTCGAGATTAAGTAGAAGAATTAATGGATATATATCGGTAAGCATGATGTTACCACACGTTGGACAGTTAACTCACCGGTGCTTGAAATCAGGGTAGACCATCCTGTTGGGGAAGCCTTTGCGACAGATACGGATACCCTCAAGTACACCGTTACAGGTCAGCTGGTGCATGATCAGGGCGGCGTCAGTCACACCTGACAATGGATGGGAATGTATACGATTTAAAAATCAATTTTATTTGTTCGGGTAAGTTTTAAGACTAATGGCTTTTTTAGGATCCAAAAAGTTACTTAATATCTGTGAGGAACAGGTTCAAACAGTGTATTGAAATCTAATACTATACTATATATATATATATATATATATATATATATATATATATATATATATATATATATATATATATATATATATATATATATAATCAACACCTCAACCCGCCAGGATTCGAACCCACGGCCCACGACTGTGACCGGGGAACGCTACCTCTGGACCACCAGGATACTAAAAGCAGTCCTAGACTCTGTTATATTTCACACAAAGCCTGTTCAACGAGCTTATGGCGCCGTGAACCTCTAATGGGGACTACCCGTATCACGTAGGTGGTCAGAGTAACGTTTTACCAAATCTGGCTTCGAAACACGAGGATCCATATATATTAAATTAGCCCAATAAAGCACGCGGACTACATACAATCAACACCTCAACCTCGAATCCTGGCGGGTTGAGGTGTTGATTGTGTGTGTGTGTGTGTGTAATAATCAGAAAATTTTATTGTGATATTTAGAGATGTTAGAACGAAAAATACCACGTGGCGAGTAAAACAAAGCCTCAAGCAACGCCCTCAAGCGACCGAGCGGAGGCTCCTTGAACTCCTGCAGTCACATAAGAACATAAGAAAATAAGGAGTCTGCAATAGGCCGGTTGGCCTGTGCATGGCAGCTCCTGTCGAGAGTTACAACCATTCTCTATCATCCATGAATCTATCTAGCCTCATTTTAAAACTTTCCAGCACTCCAGCACTTACTACAAAGTTGCTAAGCTTGTTCCACTCGTCCACCACCCTATTTGTGGACCAGTTCCTTCCTATCTCCCTCCTAAACCTAAACTTATCTAACTTTAATCCATTGCTACGAGTCCTATCCTGCTCGGATACTATAAGAACTTTATCTATATCTCCTTTATTGATTTCTTTCACCCACTTAAATACTTTTATCATATCTCCCGCACTCTTCGTCTTTCTAGGGAATGCAAGTTTAGTTTCTTTAACCAATCTTGATATGGAAGGTGTCTAGGTCCCGGAATCATTTTCGTCATTCTTAGCTGCACCGTCTCTAGTTAATTGATATCCATTCTATAATAAGGGCACCAGAACTGAACAGCATAATCGAGGTGCGGCCTGACTAGTGCAAGATATAGTTGCAAAGAGACCTCTGCACTCCTATTACTTACAATTCTAGATATAAAACCTAATACTCTGTTTGCCTTATTTCGAACATTAACGCACTGTTTTCTAGGCCGTAGGTCCGGGCTTACAAGTACCCCTAAGTCTCTTTCAGAAGTCGACTTCTCTAGGTTGATGTTGTTAAGGCTGTATACATTGACAGTATTTGTTCTTCCAATATTAAGTATGCTGTACTTGCTGGTGTTGAATTTCATTTGCCATTTTTCTGACTGCTCCTGCAGTTTATTTAAATCCTCCTGTAGTGCATTTGCATCCTTTACTGAATTAATCTGCCACCCTATTTTGGTGTCATCCGCAAACCTGCTTATGTCACTGCTGATCCCAGTATCTAGATCGTTTATGTAGATTATGAACAAGAGTGGGCAAGTACTGACCCCTAGCGAACCCCACTGGTTACACAGCCCCACTCAGATTTAACACCATCTACGCTGACCCTCTGTGTTCTATCTGTGAGCCATGATTTTATCCAATTTAAAACTTTTCCCTCGATATCATGAGCCTTAACCTTTCTTGGAAGCTTCTGATGCAGTACTCTGTCAAACGCTTTGCTAAAGTCTAAGTAAATAGCATCGTATTTTTCGTCATTATCTACTATTTCCCGAAGACTTTCCTAAAAAACGTCAGCAGATTTGTTAGACAAGATTTTCCCTTTGTAAACCCATGTTGAGAGTCGTTGATTAATTTGTTTTTTCTCTAAATGCGATCGGATGTTATTTGCTATAATTGATTCAAGAAATTTCCCCACTACTGACGTCAAACTAATCGGCCGGTAATTTGACGCTGATGCTCTGTCACCCTTTTTGAATATGGGTACTACATTTGCCTTTTTCCACAAGTCTGGCACAACTCCCATGTCTAATGATTTTGTAAATAAACTTACGAGGGGTCCGCTAATCTGTTCTTACACTCTTTCAAAACTCGAGGGAAAATTTCATCCAGCCCTGGGGAGTTTGTCTTCTTTAATTTATTTATCTTCTTAAGAACATCCTCTTTTCTGATAGTGATATTCTTTAATTTCTCTTCTTCATTTCCCTTAAATATCTGTTCCACCTCTGGAATTTCCTAGTGAACTTCTTCTGTGAAAACTGATAAGAAGTAGCTGTTTAATGCTTTATTTATTTTCCCAATATCATCGATTACTTCTCTCTTTGACTTTATGGGTCCCACTTTGTCCTTGACCTTTGTCCTATATACCTGGAAAAATCCCTTGGGATTCGCCTTGGATTCTCTTGCTATCCTGATTTCGTAGTCCCTCTTTGCCTTCCGTACATTTATCTTAACAGTCCTAGATAGTTAATTATACCTATTTCGGAGCTGCTCCTCCCCTCCCTTTAATTTCTTATAAATTCCTTTCTTTATTCCTATGTTATGTTTAATTTTTTTGGTCATCCACCTTGGCTCATTCTTATTTGACCTAATTTTTCTGTATGGTATATTTTGTTCTTGTGCTTTACGTAGTATACGAGTGAATATATTATAGTCATGATCAATTGTTGTGTCGCCTGTGACTTCACCCGTTTCTACCGGGGATTGACCTGACTGTTCCCAGGCGACCTCACCTAGGTACCTTCTTAACCCCTCATAATCCGCCGATCGAAAGTTTGGGACTCTGACCATATTGTCATTGTTTTTCGTTTCCCAATTTAGGGTTAACTTGATTTCTCTGTGATCACTGTTCCCTAGTTCTTCCTCTATTGTGATATCTCTGATAATATTTTCTTTCTTTGTTAATACTAGGTCTGATATATTGTCACCTCTAGTAGGTTCTGTAATTAGTTGTTTTAAAAAATTGTCCTGTACTGCGTCTAGGAAGTCTTCAGATTCACAGTCACCTACAATGTTGTCCCAGTCAATATTTCTGAAGTTAAAATCCCCTATAATACACAGGTTGTTATATTTTGCTGCCCTACTCATTTCCTGCCATATGGGCTGAGCTGCTTCTTTCCCAAGACTTGCGGCCTGTAAATCACTCCCATAATTAGTTTTTTCTTCCTTCCGTGATTTCTACCCATACAGACTCGGTTCCTATTTCACCCTCTATTGAATTATTAATACAACATTTTAATGTATCCCTGACGAAGAGTGCAACCCCTACCCCCTTCCTACCTTCCCTGTCCTTGTGAAAAATTTTGTACCCTTCTATGTGGTACGCTGATAAAAAGTTCTTGCTCGCCAGATTCATCTAAGTTTCGGTGATTGATATGACGTCTACATTCTCGGTACATACAACCGCTCTCAGCAAGTCTATTTTATTTCTAACGCTCCTACTGTTTGTATAGTATACATTTAAACCTATCCTTCCTTGGTCCTGTTTTACCCCTTGTCCTGAGTAAGCAATTTTACTCCCCAGGACCTGCTTGATTTCTTACTCCCACTTACGCCGACCTCTCTCTACTGGCGAAACCCCCCTCTCCCCCTTTGGAGTGACAATTTCACACTCCAGGGATGCAGACAACGTCTTTACATAGGCCTATAGAAATTAAAAGTAATTTATCAAATTAATGTATACATGATTTATGAAGTTAAAGGACAACTATAAAATTTGAAGTTATTTTGGATAGTTTTTCCGTTCAAAATATGTTACGTGTGTCCTTAGGAGAAATGCAAAAAAATGCGAGACTACATGACGTCATGCATCACGAGAAATAACATAATTACCAAAAGCCATAAGGAAGCTCGTGTCCGAAATTAAATAACATAGACAAATATTAAAATAGTGCTAATATTTCCCCAATAAAAATAAATAAAGAAGGTAAGGGAATTGTTTAAGATTTTAAAATAAAATAGTCCCGGAGAAGGTGGCAGGCAGGCGCCTTGAGAGACGCTGTCAATGGCAGGCCTCAGTCAGTTGGCGGCCATTGACCAAGACCGTACCATTCCGCGCTCAGCCAAGAAAAAGACCACGTGGCCTGCATCCTTGCACGTGCTTTCAACACCATTAACATAAAAATGGAGGAAACTGCAGTGGGCTCATTGGCCCATATTGGACAATCCCATTTACACTCTACCCCTATTGCTCATATAACCATCTAATCTATGTTTGAAGCTATCCAGCGTTTTCGAGTTAATGATGATGTTTGGTAACTTGTTCCATTCAGCCACTACTCTATTTCCAAACCAATGTTTACCTATTTCGCGCCTAAATCTAAACTTGTCTAATTTAAAGTCATTGTTACGAGTTCACTTCTGGTTGAATAATTTGAGTACCTTTGTTATGTCACCTTTGTTAAACCCTGACTTCCATTTATACACCTCTGTCATGTCGCCCCTCACTCTACGTCTCTCGAGGGAGTGCAAATTAAGATGCCTTAGCCTGTCTGTGTACTCGAGGTTCCTAATGCCCGGGATTAGTCTTGTCATTCTCCTCTAAATTCTTTCTAGGGATTCTACATTCATTCTGTAGTCCCGTGACCAGAACTCAACTGCATAATCCAAGTGAGGTCTCACAAGCGCAAGATATAGTTATAGGATAACCTCTCTAATCTTGTAAATAACTCTCTTTTGTATGAACCCAAGTACTTTATTAGCCTTGTTTCGAACAAATACACATTGTTTACTTGGTTTAAGATTCCTACTTATCATTACCCCTAAATCTTTCTCACATTCGGATTTCTCTATAACATCGTTGTTCATTTGATATCTGGTTTCTCTGTTTACATCTCCAAGACTAAGTACTTTACATTTGTTGTCAACAATGAATTTCATCTGCCATTTCTCACACCAATCAAA